ATGTTTAATTCATTTATGGCAATATACCTCGAAAATAAGTTTTTGTTGTGTCACTTTTGAAGTAAGAGAGTGATATCCAAAGTAGTAAAGAACGTGCAGTTGCATTTTCCAGAATTACCTTATCGCTCCCACTTCCCTTATCGCCGATCCGATTCGCTATATGTTAGTATAGCGACAGTCACAAGAGGACAGGAATAAGGAAAGAAGGAAGAGAGAGGAGTACACATCGGAAGACGAGAAGAGCAAATGGTAAGAATGCACATCTCTTCTCTCTTCCGTCGTCGCGTAGACGACGCGCAATGTGTGCGAGGTCAGTGACCATGGCGCAGCACTCTCGTCGTTGCTCGCACTTCTTGCAACCGTAGAAGCGGAGGATGAAGAGGAGGAAGAAGAGCAAGCGAGCGGCAATGCAAGGGGACAGCGTAGTTTCGCGCGGTGCAAAATACGGCGCGGTGCGCCGACCAGTGTTTAACGGTCGAATGATACTGAATTTAGAGGCCGGAGGTGCAGGCATCTCCTTCACCGCCAAAGAGCAGCGGATCCACTATTAATTGACGGGGAAAGAACAAGAGAAAGAGAGAGAGAGAGAGAGAGAGAGGGGGGGCGACATTTGAGAATTCGCGGCTGGTTGAAATACGACCTTGAGGGGATCCGCGGAGAAGCGATCCTCCGCAACTATATTTACGAAACCGTTCATTTCTGGCCAATAAGAGAGCGAATTATTCGTCGGATCTCTCCTCGGGCAAATATTTCTTGCGCAACTCGCATATAATTTTGCCGGTAAGACAAAGTGGGGGCGATAGTGAGATTTATGTTGCACGACTAACAGGAAGAACCCGATGACGGTCGCGTCGAGGTGGTTACTTAAATATTCGCCGCTTACGAAGAGGGAGATATTTCCCACGTTGCTTGCGTGGGCGCAACACCTGCGCGAAACTCTCGAGCTGATCCTACGCTTGTTGTATATAAAATTATTTAAAAAAAACGTAGCAGCAAGTTCTCGCAGCTTTCGAGCTTGTTTCTTAACGTATTATCTCGCGTGATGACGCGGAAGGTTTCCAACTAAAGTTAATATAAATATATGATGAAATCTACGATCTTTCGGGTTTTATTACTAAATTACAAGTTCAAACTTTTAATCGATTTGCTTTTTTTCTCTTCTTTCTACGAAATTTTTAAAAATAAAGTTTCGTTTCTATCGCACAATTTCTTTAACCTGGGTATAGTTACGTGGAATATTTTTATATTTAATATGAATTGTTGCAAAATACTATTTTGTATAAATATTGTTTACAAAAATTCTCTTTCTTTTTTAATATTTTATGAATCTTTAAATACGCAATTCCATTGAAAACTCACAATAAAAAAGTGTTACATTAAAATCTTAATTTTTTTAGAAATAATATCATGATAAATTACTTTACCATTGTATATATTTCATTTAATATTTATTTGGTTTTTAATTACTTTTTTCAAAAAGTTGTGATTAAATTCAAATCCATGATGTTCTCAAATACTATAATAAATCGGAAAACAATCAATAATATATTGTTAATAATAGTCACTTTAATTGGAGCATAAAAACAATTCATGTGATCGTTTACATAAAAAAAAATTACATACATATGTAATTATATACTACTCTCGGGTTATTTGTTCTATAATTATCGATTAATAATTTGGATAAGTCTGATTATTGAAAAAAAAAGAAACAATTCCATCGAAACAATTCTAAAAAATTTTCAAAACTTAACTACAGAACGTATAGAGCGCCTTTCGCCCCTCTCTCTCTCTCTCTCTCTCTCTCTCTCTCTAAATAATTCCGTCGAAGGAAGATCAGGATCATTACATGCATCCGCGAGAGAGAGAGAGAGAGAGAGAGAGAGAGAGAGAGAGAGAGAGAGCATGTCGTCAGCCGTATTACACACAAAAAATTTGTATGATAAGCTGTTCTGGTAAGTAGGCGACGATCGTCGAATCAAGCGAAATTCTTGTGCATTCATGATACTCGCTAGAGACCCGACCGCGGCTATCGCGGCGATAACCTCCTCCGGCAATTGCCATTATTGCCAAAAACGTAGGTCTTAGTTGAGATAAGGGGTCAACGCGAACCGATTTGGGTCAGCGTCAGTCGGCTGATCGTCCCGCAGAACAGG